GGTGACAGCCGTGTCCCCCCGCAGACAGCGGGTACTGGGGGTTACGGGGCAGTGACAGGGGGTGACAGGAGGTGACAGGGAGGTGACAGGCGGTGACAGCCGTGTCCCCCCGCAGACAGCGGGTACCCCGCGTACCTCGGTGCCCGCCTGGCCTCGTTCTACGAGCGCGCGGGGCGGGCGCGGTGCCTGGGGAGCCCCGAGCGCGAGGGCAGCGTCAGCATCGTGGGAGCGTGAGTGTCACCGTGTCACCGTGTCACCGTGTCACTGTGTCACTGTGTCACTGTGTCCCCTGTGTGTCCCCGTGAGTGTCCCCGTGTCCCCGTGTCACCGTGTCACCGTGTCACCATGTCCCCTGTGTGTCACCATGTCACCGTGTCACTGTGTCCCCGTGTCACTGTGTCCCCTGTGTGTCCCCGTGAGTGTCACCGTGTCCCCGTGTCACCATGTCACCGTGTCACTGTGTCACCGTGTCACCGTGTCACTGTGTCACTGTGTCCCCTGTGTGTCCCCGTGAGTGTCACCGTGTCCCCATGTCACCATGTCACTGTGTCACTGTGTCCCCGTGTCACTGTGTCCCCTGTGTGTCCCCGTGAGTGTCACCGTGTCCCCGTGTCACCATGTCACCGTGTCACTGTGTCACCGTGTCACCGTGTCACTGTGTCACTGTGTCCCCTGTGTGTCCCCGTGAGTGTCACCGTGTCACTGTGTCACCATGTCCCCTGTGTGTCCCCGTGAGTGTCCCCGTGTCACCATGTCACCGTGTCACCATGTCCCCTGTGTGTCCCCATGTCCCCGTGTCACCATGTCACCGTGTCACTGTGTCCCCATGTCACCATGTCACTGTGTCCCCTGTGTGTCCCCGTGAGTGTCACCGTGTCACCGTGTCACCATGTCCCCTGTGTGTCCCCGTGAGTGTCACCGTGTCACCGTGTCACCATGTCCCCTGTGTGTCCCCGTGAGTGTCACCGTGTCACTGTGTCACCATGTCCCCTGTGTGTCCCCGTGAGTGTCCCCGTGTCACCATGTCACCGTGTCACCATGTCCCCTGTGTGTCCCCATGTCCCCGTGTCACCATGTCACCGTGTCACTGTGTCCCCATGTCACCGTGTCCCCTGTGTGTCACCGTGTCAGTCACTGTGTCACCGTGTCCCCTGTGTGTCCTCGTGAGTGTCACCGTGTCACTGTGTCCCCGTGTCACTGTGTCCCCTGTGTGTCCCCGTGAGTGTCACCGTGTCCCCATGTCACCATGTCACTGTGTCACTGTGTCCCCGTGTCACTGTGTCCCCTGTGTGTCCCCGTGAGTGTCACCGTGTCCCCATGTCACCATGTCACTGTGTCACTGTGTCCCCGTGTCACTGGTGAGTGCGACAGGGACACACCGGGGAGGGGACATGGTGGTGGAGGACACGGAGGGGACATTGAGAGGTGGGGGGGGACATGGAAGGGACAAAGTGGGAGGAGCGTGGAGGGGACAGGGACAGGGTGGGAGGGAGATGGGGACACTGAGTGGGACATGGAAGAGACAGGGACGCACTGGGAGGGGACAGGGACACAGGGACAGGGACATGGTGACAGTGACGGCGGTCACGGTGACATTCCCGGTGTCGCAGGTGCTCGGGGGCTGGACAGGAACCTCGGGGACAGCCTGGGTGACACGGGGGTGACATTACCAGGTGTTCCGTGGGGACAAGAAGCTCGGGGGCAGGATGGGTGACACGGGGTGACACGGGGGTGACATTACCAGGTGTTCTGGGGGCTGCACAAGAAGGACAGGGACACACGGGGTGACACGGGGGTGACAGTACTGGGTATTCTGTGGGGATAAGGAGCTTGGGGACAGGATGAGTGACACAAGGTGACAGTGGGTGACACCCCAGGTGTTCTGGGGGCTGGACAAGAAGCACAGGGACACACGGAGTGACCCGGGGGTGACATTCCCGGGCATTCCGTGTGGATAAGAAGCTCGGGGACAGGATGGATGACCCGGGGGTGACATTCCCGACCCGAGGTGACACCGGGTGACACGGGGTGACACTGCCAGGTGTTCTGGGGGCTGGACAAGAAGCACAGGGACACACGGGGAGACTCTGGGTGACCCGGGGGTGACATGGAGGTGACACTGCCAGGCATTCCGTGGGGATAAGGAGCTCGGGGCTGCCCTGAGTGACCCTGGGGTGACACGGGGTGACACGGGGTGACACTGCCAGGTGTTCTGGGAGCTGCACAAGAGATGCTGGGTGACCCGGGGGTGACATGGAGGTGACACTGCCAGGCATTCCGTGGGGATAAGAAGCTCGGGGGCAGGATGGATGACCCGGGGGTGACATTCCCGACCCGAGGTGACACTGGGTGACACCGGGTGACACCGGGTGACACCCCAGGTGTTCTGGGGGCTGGACAAGAAGCTGGCGCAGCGCAAGCACTTCCCCTCGGTGAACTGGCTGATCTCGTACTCGCGCTACCTGCGCGCTCTCGAGCCGCACTACGAGCGCGCGCACCCCGAGCTGCCCGCGCTGCGCGACCGCGCCCGGCGCATCCTGCAGGAGGAGGAGGAGCTGGCCGAGATCGTGCAGCTCGTGGGGAAGGTGCTTTTATGGGATTTGTGGGGTCTGTGGGGTCGGGGATGTGAGATACGGGGAGTGGGATGTGAGATACGGGGTCTGTGGGATGTGAGATACGAGGTGTGGGATGTGAGATACGGGGTGTGGGATGTGAGATACGGGGTCTGTGGGATGTGAGATATGGGGTCTGTGGGATGTGAGGTTTGTGGGGTTTGTGGGGTCTGGAATGTGGGATATGGGATATGGGACCCTGCAGGAGGAGCTGGCCGAGATCGTGCAGCTCGTGGGGAAGGTGCTTTTATGGGATTTGTGGGGTCTGTGGGGTCTGGGATGTGAGATATGGGGTCTGAGATGTGAGATATGAGGTGTGGGATATGGGGTCTGTGGGGTTTGTGGGGTCTGGGATATGAGATACAGGTTGTGGGATGTAGGGTCTGGGATCCTGCAGGAGGAGGAGGAGCTGGCCGAGATCGTGCAGCTCGTGGGGAAGGTGCTTTTATGGGATTTGTGGGGTCTGTGGGGTTTGTGGGGTCTGGGATGTGGGATATGGGGTGTGGGATATGGGGTTTGTGGGGTCTGTGGGGTTTGTGAGGTCTGGGATGTGGGACCCTGCAGGAGGAGCTGGCTGAGATCACGCAGCTTGTGGGGAAGGTCTGGGACTGGGGTTTGTGGGGTCTGTGGGGTCTGTGGGGTGTGGGATGTGGGGTTGGGGTCTGGTATGTGGGATATGGGATACAGGACCCTGCAGGAGCTGGAGATCGTGCAGCTTGTGGGGAAGGTGATTTTATGGGATATGTGGGGTCTGTGGGGTGTGGGATGTGAGATACGGGGTGTGGGATGTGAGATACGGGGTGTGGGATGTGGGGTTGGGGTCTGGTATGTGGGATATGGGATACAGGACCCTGCAGGAGCTGGAGATCGTGCAGCTTGTGGGGAAGGTGATTTTATGGGATATGTGGGGTCTGTGGGGTGTGGGATGTGAGATACGGGGTGTGGGATGTGAGATACGGGGTGTGGGATGTGGGGTTGGGGTCTGGGATGTGGGATATGGGGTGTGGGATGTGGGGTCTGGGACCCTTCAAGAGGAGGAGGAGCTGGCTGAGATCATGGGGAAGGTGGCATTGTGGGGATTGTGGGGTGTGGGATGTAGGATACGGGGTGTGGGATATGGGGTCTGTGGGGTTTGTGGGGTCTGCGGTGTGAGATATGGGGTGTGGGGTCTGGGACCCTGCAGGAGGAGGAGGAGGAGCTGACCAAGATGGTGCAGCTCGTGGGGAAGGTCCTTTTATGGGATTTGTGGGGTCTGTGGGGTGTGGGATGTCTGGTCAGGGTCTGGGATGTGAGATGGGGTGTGGGATGTGGGGTCTGTGGGGTCTGCGGGGTCTGCGGGGTCTGTGGGGTCTGTGGGGTCTGCGGGGTCTGTGAGATGTGGGGTCTGTGGGGTCTGTGGGGTCTGGGGTGTGGGATGTGGAGTCTGTGGGGTCTGCGGGGTCTGTGGGGTTTCTAGGGTGTGGGACCGTGCAGGAGGAGCAGGAGCTGGCCGAGATCCTGCAGCTCACGGCCGGGCGGATTTATGGGGTTTGCGGGACTGATGGGGTCTCTGGGATCGATGGGGTTTGTGGCATTTGGGGTCGGGGGGCTCTGGGGGGTCCCAGCAGTGCCAGCACCCCGCTGTCCCCGCAGGCGTCGCTGGCCGAGGGTGACAAAGTGACGCTGGAAGTGGCCAAACTGCTCAAGGACGATTTCCTGCAGCAGAACGGATACTCGGCCTACGACCGGTACCGGGACCCCCGGGACACCCCCCGCTGACCCCCCCGGGCCCCCCCAGGTTCTGCCCGTTCTACAAGACCGTGGGCATGCTGCAGAACCTCATCACCTTCTACGATCTGGCGCGGGGGGCGGTGGAGGGCGCGGGGCCCGAGGAGCAGCGTGTCACCTGGGCCACCATCCGCGAGGGGCTCGGGGACATCCTGTACCGCCTGAGCGCCATGAAGTTCCAGGTGGGGGGCGTTTGGGGGGCAGAGACCCCCGGCGGGAGGTTAAAGGGGGGGCCCCCGGCCTGGTGGGGGGGGGGCGGGGGGGGGGGGGGGGGCTGTGACCCCATTTGGGGGTCCCAGGTGGATTTTTTGGGAGGGGTCCCACATAAATCTCAGTGTGGGTGCCCCGGGGGGGTTTGGGGACCTCCCCCCGTGAGGGTCTGGGGGTGACACCGATGTGTCCCCGTGTCCCTTGTGACCCCTGTGACTCCATTTGGGGGTGGGCTGTGACCCCATTTTGGGGTCCCAGGTGGATTTTTTGGGGGGTCCCGCACGAATCTCAACGTGGGTGCCCCGGGGGGGTTTGGGGACCTCCCCCCGTGAGGGTCTGGGGGTGACACCGATGTGTCCCCGTGTCCCTTGTGACCCCTGTGACTCCATTTGGGGGTGGGCTGTGACCCCATTTTGGGGTCCCAGGTGGATTTTTTGGGGGGTCCCGCACGAATCTCAACGTGGATGCCCGGGGGGGTTTGGGGACCCCCAATGCGGCTCTGGGGGTGACACCCCCGTGTCCCCCCGTGTCCCGTGTGACAGTCAGAACGGGGGCTGTGACCCCATTTGGGGGGGTGGTGTCACCGTGTCCCGCACGAATCTCGGTGTGGGTGCCCCGGGGGGGTTTGGGGACCCCCAGTTCGGCTCTGAAGGCGACACCCCCGTGTCCCCCCGTGTCCCCCCGTGTCTCCCGTGTCCCCGCGGCCAGGACCCGGTGAAGGACGGCGAGCAGCGCATCCTGGCGTCCTACGCGCAGCTGCAGGAGGAGATGGTGGCGGCGTTCCGAAACCTGGAGGACTGAGGGGGGGGGACAGGATGGGGGGGGGTCACCCGAGGGTGGGGACAGGATGGGGGGGTCCCCAGAGTCCCCCCGCCCTCCTCAATAAAGGGCTCGTGGTGGCACTTGAGCTCCGGGCGTGGCTTTCCCGAGCAGGGCGGCAGCGTCCGGTGGCACCGGGGGTGACACTGGGGGGTGACACCGGGGGTGGCACTGGGGGGGTCCGGGGGGGTCGAGGGGGGGC